CTATAGGGGCTCCATTTAGCAGTCACATCACGCACACAGGGGAACCAATTGTATGTGACAACAGCAAGGGCCCGTCCAAATCCCAGCGTGCCGGAGGGTGAGCAATAAGGTAGGTATTACTGCAGCCCCCCCCCCAGACTTAACGCACATTTAACCCTTGCCATGTAGGAGGGCCCCACTGCAAGGGTTGTTTATTTATCCCACAGAGAGGGAAAAGATAAAATTACACGTTGACACGAGGGTGTGCGCTAATCATGGCGCCAATCAATGCATATTCACTTCAAAGCTTTTACATAGTGCCGGGCAATCCCTAGCAATGTTTGTTATACTCAGTAGGCGCTGCAATCGGCGTCATCGGGCCAGGTACGGCGCCGTCAGGCCAGGTACGGCGCCGTCAGGCCAGGTACGGCGCCGTCAGGCCAGGTACGGAGCCGTCAGGCCAGGTACGGAGCCGTCAGGCCAGGTACGGAGCCGTCAGGCCAGGTACGGAGCCGTCAGGCCAGGTACGGCGCCGTCAGGCCAGGTACGGAGCCGTCAGGCCAGGTACGGAGCCGTCAGGCCAGGTACGGAGCCATCAGGCCAGGTACGACACCATGGACTTTCCTGGCGCTCTACAGGCCCACCTGCCCCTAGGAGACAGGAATATGGCAGCCTGGTGGTAAAGGATAAAGTGATATGGGTCCATGTATGGCCAGCACCAGGAGGACAATAGGGAATAATGAGCACTTGAATACAGGCAGCCAGGCATGAGCTGCTCCTGCTACACTGGCCCAGGCCTGTGTGAGAGGCCTGCCATTCCCTCACTGCCCCCCCACACTGCATGCACAGGGGGGAGGAGGGGGGCACTTACCTTCCCCGATGCTCTACACCATCAATAAAGGTTTGTGTGGAGCCCGCAGAGAAAGGGAGCCGGGAGCAGGAGGGTGAGGGCGGCCGTGCCCGGGTCAGGGTGCACAGTGGCTGGGGCTGTGTGGGAAAGCTGCTCCCTTGGAGTTCTACTATCCTGAGGCCTACAGCGATGTCACAGTGAGCTGAGTGATGGATGGGGAGGGCCGGCTTCTCCCGGTGCCTGGACTCTGTATGTGTGTGAGAGCAACCAACCAACTGACTCCGCCTCTCCCTCCAGCCGCCTCTAACTCCGCCCAGCCTCCAGCAAAGCGCCCGCTCATTGGGGCATCCCGGGGCACATACCCCGCCCCGAGGCTACGTACGGACTGACGCAGGCCACTCATAGAAACCTCGAAAGTGATTTAAAAAAACAAAAAAAAAAAAAAAAAACGTAAGCAAGGGCGAAAGAGCCGGAGCCCAACATACGGGTCTTAGTGACGTCACGGCGCTAGGGCTGCCGGGAGGTGTAGTTTCTGAGCCGTGCTTTGTAGTCCACCATGGCTTTCCAGGGTTTTGTTCTCAGCATTGCCTCTCTGATTTCTGTCTTCCCAGCCCCGGGGATTAGCAGACATACAGAGCTCACCATAGACCTTGTTGGTGCTCAGGGTTTCATTCACCGCCAAGTGGGCCTATTTTGGTGGAAAACTGTTCAAATTTTGAAGGTGCGCGTTCATGTGGCGCTGAAAAGCGATCAGACACCTTCGCCGCAATCCTTAGGGTTCATGTCTTTTTTTTTCGTCAAATGTGTCTTCCGTCTGAACCCGTGCGGCTGCGTTCAGATGGAAAATACAATATTAGACCAAAAAGGACCGTGTCTGGCCTACTTACCTGCAGTACAGGCACCCCCGATGGGCTCCAGGACACGGACGCAGAACACAGCAGCGCTCTTAGCAGGACTGACTTTTAGCCATCTGAATGCTGTTCTAGCGTTTACTAGGGGCACACACTGCAGAAAGATCAGGAAATCTGCGCTGCGTTCAGATCTGTAAAGTCTATACACAATAATGTGCGTCCGAGGGCAGTCATATACACGCAGAAACACATGTACATCCATACACACAGACGGGTTGGGCAAAAAATGAAAACACGACAGGAATTGCAGGTGTGAAAGTGACATCATGTTTCACATTGAAAGCGGAAGTCATGTAACATTCTTTTGCTTCCGCTAGCTAACTGGTGGGAAGCTTCACTTAAGTCATTCACTGTGTGCGCTGCTAGCAACATGGAGTCATATCAGAGCTCACTGAGCTTCAAAGAGGCCAGATTGTTGGTGCCGCTTAGCTGGTGCCTCTGTGACTACATTTGCCAGTTTGCGGTGCACAGTATTGAAGGTTATGACGGCATATACAGTTTCCAGGAAAAAACATTATCTGATAAGCGTAAGCGCGGTCAACATGGTCATCTGACCAAAAGAGTCAAAAGGACATTGAGTGCGATAGTGACCCGGAACAAAAAAAAACACTGCTGTAAAAGTGACTGCAGAGCTCAATCTCAGTCCTGTGAAGACAGAGTCCTGTGAAGACTGAGATTGAGCTCTGCAGTCACTTTTGCAGCAGTGGTTTTCTTACTCCAGGTCCCCCCCCCCAAAAAAAAGTTAAAAAAGAAAAATGTAATTGCAGTTATGTGACAGTAGGGGGAAGGCGCTCAACAATTAAAGTATAACTAAAGACAAAACTTTGTTTCATAGCTTTGGATAGAGCGGAGAGGAATTACCATCTCTGTCAGTGTTTATTGCTGTTTGTGCCCCCCGTTAAGGAGATTCACCCTCTATATTTGTTCTGTTTATCATTGAAAGTGAAAGTAAAAAAAAAAAATTATGGGTTGTCCCCAGAAACGTAATAGAGGGGAAATCTTCCAGTGGAGACATTAGATCTTAAGACTTGGTGGTCCCCAAGAAATCCCCTTAAAGTAGGGGTCTCCAAACACTAACACGAAAGACAGGGCACCATACCTTCCACTGATATCAGAGATGAAACACTGTTCCTCCCACTGACACCAATGATGGGGCACTATTCCTCCCACTAACATCAACATGGGGCACTATTCCTCCCACTAACACCAAAGACAGGGTACTATTCCTTCCACTGATATCAGAGATGGGGCACTATTCCTCCCACTAACACCAATGATGGGCACTATTCCTCCCACTAACACCAACGATGAGGCACTATTCCTCCCACTAACACCAATGATGAAGCACTATTCCTCCCACTAACACCAACGATGAAGCACTATTCCTCCCACTAACACCAACGATGAAGCACTATTCCTCCCACTAACACCAATGATAGGGCACTATTACTCCCTTTAACACCAATGATGAAGCACTATTCCTCCCACTAACACCAATGATGGGATACTATTCCTCCCACTAACACCAATGATGGGGCACTATTCCTCCCACTAACACCAATGATGAGGCACTATTCCTCCCACTGACACCAATGATGGAGCACTATTTCTCGCACTAACACCAACAATGGGGCACTATTCATCCCACTAACACCTACAATGGGGCACTATTCATCCCACTAACACCTACAATGGTGCACTATTCCTCCCATTGACACCAATGATGTACATTTTTTAACTCCCACCGACCATCAAACCTATGGCATGGCTCACTCCCATCAATGACGGGGAATTTTCTACTCCCACTGGCAATAGTCTAGCCCCCCTAAACTTTGAAAGGCAGTAAACTGGCCCTTTGTTTTGAAAGTTTGGAGATCCCTGCCTTAAAGCGTTACTAAACCCACAACAGTAAAATCAGTCTGTATATGCAGTAAAGCATGCTTGTTATACTCACTGTAGAATCTAAGGGGTTAATCCTCTCCATTGTGTAAAATGGCTGTTTTATCCTGACTTCTCTGATCCTCCCCTTCTTCCAGTGTCCCCCTCTTATCTCCTGATATGACATATCATGTGGAGATATTGCACATGCTCAGTTAGGTGTGTATTGCTAGAGAGGTTTTTTTTCTTTGAAGAGTGCATGTGATCAGCAAAGGGCCAATCAGCACTGTCCAGACAGATGTCAGGGGTTCTGCATCCTGCGAGAGCAGGAAGAAAACTCCTCCTACAAGCTTTAACTAGTGCTTGGCTGGACACTGATACAAGTCACGTATGCATACTAGCACATTATGACATTACCTTGCAGAAGACTTTTTTTTTTTTCTTCTTTCCTGTAGTTCACTACCGCTGTAAACGTTAGCATGCTGCTGCTAATTGCGAGGCAATGACTAAGTGAATATCACTTTGCCCTCACTAATGATTAAAAAATTGAATGAACATTTTTAAAACAAAAATGTAAACCGAAATTCCATTAGTGTATGGCCAGCTGTAGCCTAACCATACACATAGAGATTTCTCTTGTTCAGCCTTAGTGCTAAATCTAATAGACTCCTCCATCCACGATAAACAGCAAGGAATCTGTATTCAGACAGCAATACCACCAGTGGCTGTCTGAATACCCAAAATGTGACTTAATCTATTTGAATGCAGTCACTTTTTAGCCAACAATATTCCACCCAGCTTCCCTCGATGATTCAGTTGAAGATTGTTGGTCCAGGTGGTACCAACAGGGCCACCCGCAGCTTGAATTGTTTGAAATTCAAGCTCTGTATATCAGGCTTTAATCAAAAGGAAGCTGGCAAGATTGTTTAATCAAAAGGAAGATGGCCAGCAATGTTACTGGCAGGATCTCCAGAAAAGAAACTTTGCAACAGATCCCCCAAAAAAACAGTTTGCTTTAGAAAACTGAATACAGTGAGACACTGATACCAAACATATTTAAAAATAGATTGAAAGGAGCTGTAGTGATGTCTCAGTCTCCACCTTGTCCAACGCGAGAACGCAAGGTATTCTTTGAAAGATAGTGGTGTCTAGTGAGCACCCCCTGTGTTCAGTGTACAGAGGGGATGCTACTCACACAGGGCCCCAGTAGGACCACAAGTTCACAATTATCTCTGTAGCAGCACTGACTACTACAGTGATTTCCAGCTTCCCCTCTGTCCATCAGTTATGAGATATACAGTACATACAATGTACCAAGCTGGACCAATGTAAGTATGCAATACAATTAAAGTGGTTCTTAAGTCAAAAGGTTTTTTTTTTACCTTAATGCAGGGGTGGGCAACTGTGGCCCTCCAGCTGTTGGTGAACTACAAGTCCCATCATGCCTCTGCCTTTGGGAGTCATGCTTGTAACTGTCAGTTTTGCAATGCCTCATGGGACTTGTAGTTCTACAACAGCTGGAGGGCCACAGTTGCCCACCCTTGTCTTAATGCATTCTCTGCAGGTAAAAGAAAAAAAAACGTTCAATAGCAGCACCCTGCAGCCCCTACCTGAGTCCATCCTAAATCCAACACTGTGCCCGTCTGCTGCAGCTCTTCTTTCCTCTTCCTCTGGAGGCTCTGATGGACACCATTGGCTCCTGCTGCTATCAGTCAGTTCCAGTGAGGAGAGGGGCGAGACCCAGTCGCACTGTGCATGTCTATAGGCGCACACGGCACGCAAGCAAGCACAAATGTTTGCCCTCATAACACACAGCTTCCTATGGGGGCAAACTCAAAAGGGGAGAAGCAGAGAGCACCAGCAAGGGACCCCAAAGAAGAAGGTAAGGGACTGTTCTGTGCAATATCCTTGCAAAGAGCAAGTAAGTATAAAAAAAAAATGTATTTAAAAAACAGCCTGTAGTATTACTTTAATTTCTGGAGTTTGGCTTTAATAAATGTACATTTGTCCTTATATCATTGTTGGTGGGTCATATTTAATCAGGACAACCTGCCAGGAGGGTCTGGCGCCCCTGCTTAATCACAGCTGCTGGTCTCATTCCAGCATCGTGGTTTTGGCTGTGATACATTCTCCCAGTCTGTCTACTCACCTGCAAAGTGATTGATATGGCCAGTCTCTGGGTGGAAATCAAACCTGATTTAAGCCAGCCAAGCCTGCAGTCTCATGCTTGTGATAGCGTGTGTAATACATGCTCTAGCTCTATGTCTGTCTGTCTCTCTGTACTGCTCTGCTGTTTGGCTTCCCCTGTTTATGACCTCGGTTCAGAGAACAGTCGGCATCAACTATTGATTTGCATAGCCCTTCATACAGCCACCACCAATATACCTGATGTGCTCACAACTGGAGCTTTTGACCTCAAATATATATAATGTTTGGTCAAATAATGCATGTGTCACTTTACATGGACTTAGTAGAGGTGTATCCTGAGGTATATTTCTCCTCCTGGGTCAATCACATCAACTGTAGACCATCTCCCCCTTCAAATTTCATTGCTCACCTTGAAAATCAAAATAAGCATAACATAGTGCTTTGTCACTAAAAACACCTTTATTTAAAAAAATGACAAATAAGCCATTCACATTCTTTCCGTGCTCAATTGCACCAGATATAGGGGTCAATTCACTAAGAGATTAATACTGCATGAACTGTTGAGTTAAAATGCGGTATTTATTTCAATAGTAGTAAAATCACTAAAAAAACATGCATTATTTACCGGATGCGTTAAATATTTCTGTTTTGCAATATTTAGCACTTAAATTTTGTGTTATTTTTGGTGTTTTTTCACAATTTGTTTTTGCAGGCTAACATTGCACCAGAAGGCACACAACAATTATGTGAAACTATGAAAACATCGTAGTGTGCTTTCATTCACAAATTGGTCTACCTCTGATGAAATGTTACAACTTATCTTCATTGCTGAGCTCAGAGGAGAACATTTTCACATTGATACATTCTATACCGGTGGCGGACTGACAACTCATGAGGCCCCCCGGGCAATAGGGGATCATGGGGCCCCTGTGTCCTTGCCCAAACTCAAAAAAGCCTATGAAAAAGGTACCAGGGGCATCTCATGGGGCCCCCTACTGACCCCGGGCCCTCGGGCAGTGCCCGAGTTTCCAAATGGTCAGTCCGCCCCTGTATACTTTTCACTGTCTGGCCAGAGCAGAGTTCCTCTAATTGTTATTTTGTACATTTCTAAAATACCGCCAGCAAACACCAGGTGCTAAATAACCAATGTGTGTGTTTTTTAATAATTTGACTTTAATGATTTATCTCATGTTTTTTGCGGTATTAACCTCACATTCAATATTTTACTTTGATGAATTGACTCTTATATTATCTCATGCATTATTTCTGAAAAATGAGTCACGTGACCTTCAGGCTAGGTTCACACATGTGCAGTCCTTGCACTACTTGGGAAATCACAGCCTGCACAGGAACCGAGGTTCCCAGTACAGTTGCAATTTTCAGTGCGGGCGATGTGCCATTAGAATTATTGGCACCCACCTACAGGTACCTCATTCCTCTGTGTGGGTGGTGCGGCTGCAGGTATTTGTGCGGTCCCGCAGCAGCATCACCCGCACAGATGTGAATCAAGCCTAAAACACAAAACGCATAAAAAACGCACTACATACATTTCTACAGCATCTCCATTGAAGTCTATTGATCCAAAAACGCAATGTTTTGCATTTAAAAAAGTCCCTGACCCATTCCAAAAAACACACCAGATAAAAACGCGCAGATGTGAACGTCTCCCATTGGAAATCATGTTACCTGGACTGTAGTGTGTTTCTGCAAAATGCTGTGGAAAACACTTAGGTGTGAACCTAGACTTATATCGCATGAGGTAACCTTTAGTCTAGGTTCACACCTTTGCGTTTTCCATTGCGTTTTGCAGAACTGTACAGCATTCCATTTAACTATGATTGATTTCCTATGGGACAGGTTCACATCTCCGTGTTTTCACCCGGTGAGTTTTTTAAAAAGGGTCAGGGACTTTTTTTAAACACAAAACATTGCATTTTTGTTTCAATAGACTTCAATGGAGATGCTGCAGAAATACATGTAGTGCATTTTTTATTGACACACTGTTATGCGTTTTGCGCTTTTATCTGCCGAGGAACAAGTTGGAGAAAAAACACGGAAAACGCATAAAAAATGCGTCAAAAACACATATGCAAAAATGCACTGCAAAAAGCACTGCAGAAACAGATCAAACACAAACTGCATAGGTGTGAACCTAGCCTTAGGGAATTGACCCCATAGTCAGCCTGTTTAAACTCCCTCTCCAGTACTGTCAACGTTCTCATGGATCCTCTCTACCTGGTACCACAAGGGTTGTAATGTCAGCAAACCCCTCCCCTATGTGTTACGCCACAGGGTCACGTGGCTTCCTGAGTCATATCCCCCTGAGGAAGCCACATGACCCTGTTTATGGGGTAATTCATGTAAATTATGTAATATGATAGTTGGATGGGCGACACCTTTGTTCAAATTATATTCTCTGAACTCTGCCTGCCTTTTCACTTTGAATTGAATCCTGACTACTCTGAACCTTGCCTGCCTTGTACTTGGACTGTCATTGAACCACTCTGCCTGTCTGCCAACCACAGGTACCTGTTTTCTGTGCTCAGTTCGCACCTGCCCCAGTGTAATAGCCAGGCACAATAAAATTGCGTACATGTCTTGGGGGAAACCAAGTACTGGCAGGCCTGCTTGCCTTATGGGAAAGGGGGCTGTTATAGCTGAAGAACACAGAAGCCAGCTCTAGTGCCTGACCAACTGAGTTAGGGGTAAGCATGACACAACCCTAAACAAGGACAATATGGGTTCAGGCAAAAGAACACTTCCAGGGCCTGAAGAGGTCCTGTCGCATTATGTAAAAAAATGGAGGGAAGAAGAAGTCTGTCCCACAACAGCAGTGTCCTACATTTATTTATATCAGGTACTTATATAGCACTATCAATTTATGCAGTGCTTTACATATATTGTGCCTTCACATCAGTCCCTAACCCTCAAGGGGTATACAATCTAAGGTCCCCAAGTTACATTCATTTATATACTAGGGCCAATTTAGACAGGATCCAAATAACCTATCTTTAGAGTGTGGGAGAAAACCCATACAGGCACAGGGAGAACATGCAAACTCCAGGTACTCATTAACTCCAGGCAGGTGGTGCCATGGCTGGGATTTGAACCAACCATACTAGTACTGCCAGGCGGAAGTGCTAACCATTTACCCACTGTGCTGCCCATGGTCATGCTACCCACTTTGAGGATGCAAATGAACTAGATTGTATTCAACAGGCTCTAATAATGTAAACTCTAAAACTAAATACACACTTACTCATTATGGTAATATTTTTCTACTGTGGTGTGCTGCTTCAGCTGGACTTGGGTGTTCCGTGTTATTTCTTTGATGAGCTGAAGTCTGTGGCAGTCTGTTATTAAAAAGAAGCACCCTCACAAATAATGATCTGCATGCAGAATAAACCATGCCTTGTGTTTTTAGAGTTGTTACTTATAAATAGTGACAGCTCTGTCATCCATTATTATTATGAACTATAATGAAATGTTTGAAGAGGGCTGGGACACATCAATTGCAAAACTCCACCAAATAAATTTTATATATATATATATATATATATATATATATATATATATATATATATATAATCTATATATATCTTCCTTGCAATGCTAGTCATTTGTTACACTAGTTGGTGCTGCTTTTTCTGCTTTGACAGATTTTGCATCTAATTAACTCTTAATAAATACAAAGCTAGAAAACAACCATCTCCTATGTACTAACCCACCTTCAGCTTGTGAACACCCTTTAGACCACGGGTATCAAACTGGCAGCCCTCCAGCTGTTGCCAAACTACAAGTCCCATGAGGCATTGCAAGATTGGCAGCTACCAGCATGATTCCCAAAGGCAGAGGCATGATGGAACTTGTAGTTTTGCAACAGCTGGAGGGCCGCCAGTTTGACATCCCTGTTTTAGACCTTTAAGTTTCACCTATTCTATTTCTTAAAGAGGTATGATATAATTTATATGGAATGATTGGAATTTAAAGTATGTGTAAACGTAATTATTAATGTGTCAAATAAGTATACTTTAAAAGTGTCATATAAATGTCAACATGTGAAAGTTTCTAAAAGCAGCTTTCCTTTAAATAATACCCAATCATCTATCCATAAAGGACCTTGTGCAGGCTCTTCTGGTTATTGGATGACAGTGCTCTGTTCCTGTTTCCTAATTGTGCTCCAACATTGTCATCCTGTTTAATGGGCTTCTGATGAAGACTACAATCAGCCTTTTAAAATATATTATGCAGTTATTGTCTACTGTTGTCAGCATCAGGGAATTCACATGAAAAATGTTATGCAGCCGTCACTGCATGCATGTAAACAGGAAGTGGAGCAACAAAGGATAAAATAGAATTCCCTAGCTGTGACTGAAAGGGTGCTGATTTGACGGGAGCAAGAGCTTGCATCCAAGTTTGGTTCGAACCTAAGTTTGGACCATACCCATGCTCATCCCTAGTTATGATTTCTTGAGACTGCCAAACATGGCTCAAATTTCAACTGAATCATCCAATATAAGCCTTGGGTAACCCTGTCAACACCACTCGTCTCAACAAATGTCAATTTTTCAATTTTTAACAATGAAAACCAGCGCAAACCCACATGGTCAATTACATTACTCAGCTTTAAAAAAAACATTACTGTGCTGATAAAGATATATATAATAAATTATATATAAATAAATTGATATATAAAAAATATATAAACATTAGAATCATAAGTCCAGTGACAAAAAAAACAAGTGACAAAAAAATCAAAAAAATCCCAAAAAATATATATATATAATTACAGTCCCGTGACAAAAATAAAACAAATTAAATTATAATTTTCATTTGGTTCTTCCGTGTTACTGATCCCTTCACCATGCACCAGTGCAGAAATCAACATTAGCCGCACTCACCAGATATTGGTGAGTCACACGCCTTTCAGGATTATTAAGGGCTCCTGGACCCCCTTTACTTTTTGTGAGACCTCCAAGTGCTGTTTCCTCTTATGTCTAGGTACCTCTTCTGCTTACTCCTCTCACCGAATCCCCCAAGGAAAATCAGGAAGAAGAAAAGACCATAGCGTGATACCGTAGTAATTTCTCCTCAAAATAATCTCTCCAGACCACTCACATTCTTTTGCGGGATATAGCCCGCCTTTTATTCAAAACAACAGTGATTTTCTTCCAAAATGATCCACTTTTCATGTACACCGATTTTTGTAAGAGACCCCACAGTTTAGTGTGCAGCAGGATGGCAGACCTCAGCTACAGACTCATCTACTAAGCTAAGATGGCCCCTTGGAACGCACCGCTCGGCGTGCGCTCCACTCACCGGAAATGACGTCAGACGACGGACCAGGCAACCGGAAGTGCGTCAACGCGTTTCGCCCCACCCACAGGGCGTTATCAAGACGCTCATTACCACTTCCAAGCCGCTTATAAAGCTTTGGGAGATCCCTCCCACTGATTACTCTGGACACAAAAACCTGGATACAAGCATGTCAATCACCGCCATCCATCTGCATACCCATGTGGGGTCCCTTTACAACAGAAACCATTGAACCAACAAGACCCCTACTGGCCAAAAGGAGGGGATGCAGAGGGGGGACAAGGAAAAAGAAAGAGGTCAACTTAAATCAAGGGATCTTCAATTTGAGTGATTCTGTTTTAAATGAAGAAGAGTTAAAAGTTTTAGCATTAGGATTGAAATACGCACCGGACAAAAAACTGAATAAACTGGAAACTTATATTGATATACATAAGTTTGTAAGGAAATTAAATTTAAAGAAGTATTGGGCGAATAAAACTAATTTTGAGTATAATAGTGTTAAAGGAGATGATTATTTTCTGCATACACAGTTGAGGAATAAATCGGTGTTTAATCCGAAAATCTCTAATAATTGTTGTGTAGAAACGTTTAAAAAAATGGTGGAACATGATCTGGAGGATTTAGCCATTCCCTTTATGAGAAAGAAACAAGATTTAGAAACTGGTATAAAAAGGTTGGAGGAAAATAAAAATATTGTTATAAGGCCAGCCGATAAGGGTGGTGGTCTGGTGGTATTAAACAAGGTAGA